CAAGCTATTAGTCCTTAGTATTATCTTAGCTACACAGAGATCTTTACCCTTTGCAGGCAGGAGGCAGTTCTTGTACAGCCTGAAAGTGTGGGTCCTTCACTTGTTGGCTGGGTGGCAGAATGACTTTTTGGACTACGCACACTTTGCTGGCAGTCCTGCTTAGTTCTTATACTGTTTAATTGTATAGCTTCAAAACATCATTTTTCCTTGATGGTTGGCTGATTAAAGTCCAAACAAAACGGAGGAAAAGGTTGATCATCATATCGTAACTATTAAGTGTTTGGCTCCTGTTCTTGAATGTCTACGTGTAAAGACTGTGTTTCTGCAGTCCCTGCAATTATAGGTCAATCACAGATGACGGGCCTTGGGTGTCAGACAGGATACTAAGAGGTGTCACTGAACCTATCTTGGGGTATTTGTATAGCAATGGGGCAAATTTGCAGTAGCTTGTACCAGTGATGGTCTGCTTACAGAACTCCAGATATACATTGAATTATTGAGACACTGTAACGCCTTAGAGTGACATTGGATGCCTGTTTTGAGAAATGTGAGGATGTCACATATAGAACATCCTCCCTGCATTCAGTGCACCTTTTACAGGTTTCTTTTGAGAAGCCTTTTGTTTTCTTTAGCTGCTAGGTCAATTGAAATGCATATATAGTTTCCTGGGGTGTAGGTTGTAGCCGTGTTGGTCTAAGGACACAGGCAGACAAGGTTCTTTGGGTGACACTGATATGTTTTATTAGACCAACTACATTTTTAAGTTGATCTAATAAAAGATACCAGATTCACCCAAAGAACCTTGTCTGTATATAGTTTTCTTGCCTTCACTGGCCCAGCCTTTTCTTTAAAGGGCTTTCTTAGGTGCACACATGTGATGAGTGCATTGAGTCTCTGCCAACAATTTTAACCACTTTTATTATTTTATGACATGGGACTGGTATTAGGTACTACAAGCACTCTACTGTCTTGACGCCTAATGGGTTGCAAGCCATTAACAGAGTTTGATTTTCTTGTAGCAGTCTTGTTACTGTGATCCAGTCTTGCCCCAGCCTTTGTCTTGTACACTGTCCAAGCTTTCACAATTTTTATATGCAGCAGACTGGACCATGCCTTCTCCACCAGCGAATAGCAATCAGCTGGGAGTGGGTGTGTGTGTGTGTGTGGCCCAAATGCCTGGGTCCTGTCTGTGCATGTATAAGGTCCCTTCCTTCTGGACTCCTATGACTCTACACCCTGATAGCACTGAAGTCGGTCACAGGAGCCGGCAGCCCCAAGCCCCTCGCACAGGCAGCAGCACAACTGCTATCTTTGTACTGCAATGAACTGTAGCTACCTTCCAGGCCGTAACAAAGAGATCCTTGTACCATGAGCAGGCCCGTCCCTGGGGGGGATGAATCAGGGTGACTGCCCCAAGCCCTGCACTTTAGGGAGCCCCTGCGGAGCTGGGCAGAGCGACGCAGCAACTCTAGCCACCCGGAAACACCACCTCCCTGGGCTGCTGAATCCACCGCCGGCTTCCTCATGTCCAGGGGCAGGGCCCTGCACAGGCTGATTTCCCTGGGGCCCAGCACCCTAATTGGGTCGTCTCTGACCATGAGACAGGCCTCAAGTTATACCAAGTGCCCAGCCACTTGTTTCATGGAAGAAGCTGTGGTGTCCCAGTATGGGTCTTTATATGAATGCATTTATCATGGAGGTTAGGAGGGACCTCAGGAG